TGCTTGAACAGCTCTTGTGTGCTAACAGATTTTTATTTTTCTGTCCATTTTAAGAATGTCATTTAGGGATTTCATGATTCTGTCTAGATGGACTGTGACAATACCAGATCCCATTGTAATTTTAAATAAATTACATGCCTTTTAATATGACATAGTTCCCCATGATTTGCCATTACACATCTTCTAACATTTCACTCATAAAAGCAGGCTATGGTCACATGTAGACATAAAAGAATCCACAAACCAAAAGATATTTTATAGAGATAATATCAACTTGCCTTACCTTCATTAGGTCAAGTAGAACACTATTCAAAATTCCAAGGTATCTTCTTTCCAAGGACTGAGGATGGTTAACAGCTGGAAACTGTAAGAGCAACACAATGGTAATGTTAACATTTAGGGAAGGATATGTGTGTGCATGTGCTTGTGAATGTTGCAGAAGGGAGCAGAGGAGCAAAAATGCCAATCCCAGTCACATTCATACTTGTATATTACTTTTGTTGTCTACGCATTTTTTTTTTTTTTTGAGACAGTCTCGTGCTGTCACCCGGGCTGGAGTGCAGTGGTGCTATCTTGGCTCACTGCAACCTCCGCCTCCTGGGTTCAAGCAAGTCTCCTGCCTCAGCCTCCCAAGTAGCTGGGATTATAGGAACTTGCCACCACACCTGGCTAATTTTTTGTATTTTTAGTAGAGATGGGGTTTCACTATGTTGGCCAGGCTGGTCTTGAACTCCTGACCTCATGATCCACCCATCTTGGCCTCTCAAAGTGCTGGGATTATAGGTGTGAGCCACTACGCCAGTTGTCTGTGTATTTTTATATGAATTAATGGGACTGGGTGTCAATTAACAGGAAAACTCACAGGTAAAAGATGATACTTAAATCTAGGCAGACAATACTAACGCATGTGAAACAAACTAAAATATAAACATTTGAACTAATTATGTAGTAAAATAGAATATCATCTGCTTACACAATTAGTTCTAATACCTTATACACATGATTCTTAATTACTAATAGTAATTGAGGGACTAGCAGAAGGGATATTATAAGACATCAGATAGAATTCTCATAGCTTCTTAACAAAAACATACCATTTACTCTTGAAAACAGAAGTAAAAAAAGAGAAAGTAAGTGGCCAGTATCTAAAAGGTCACAGAAGTAGAGAGTGAATTCAGACACACATTCTATCATCGCTTTTAATATGCTCTTATAATGACCTGTTTTCGAATCCTTCCTTTTTTAAAGCTGGAACCAAAGACAAAGCTAGGTTCCCAGATTAACAAATGTATTTTTAAATAAAATGAGGGGAAGAGGTCAAGTTTATTTAGATGCACTTTCTGTTCTTTCCTCTGCCAACTCAGATTTTGCAATATCTAGTGGATGTTAAAGTACTAAGTAACATGACTGGCAAAGCCCAATGCCATGTACTCCCTTCCAAATGTGAGGGCTAGTCTGCTTCCATATATTATTTCCTCTATACCAATATACAAGCATTTCAAAGTACTAAAATCCCTAAACACATTAAATAAGTAAATGGAAGGAGGAATTATATAGTAAAATTTCAAACAAGGTATTTCAGGAGTGATTACGACATCATCTCCACACCATGCTCTGGACAGCAGGAGACAAAAAATACAAGTAAGACCCAAACCCTGCTCTTGAGGAATTGGCTGTCTGGTTGGGAAAGCAATCAGTGTTAAACTGTGCAACCATAAATTCTAGTTGAAGCTCACAGAAAGGAAAGACCAAGGTGGTTTATGGCCATGGAGAAAGAACCCATAGGTAATAACTGAACTGGGTTTTGAAAGATATGAAAAATGTAAAGACAGAGAGAAAAGTAGGACATCACCTTTCAGATAGAGGAATAGAATGAACTCAACACAGATGCACAAGGCAATATCCTAAAACTGATTTCTGAGGGAAGTGATGTTATGTGAGGCATTCTGGATATATTATTCTTATTTTAGAGATGAAGAAGGTGACAATCAGAAAGTTCAAATAACTGGTTCAAGGCAAGTTACATAATTAAACAGCAGTAGAACTAGTATTTGCACCCAGTCTTGTGATCCAAACCCACACTCTTTCTAAACCTAGGTGCCTCTCCTAAGGGAAGTACAGAGGTTTCCTTTGATGTTACTGGAGCATTAAATATCAGCCCAAAGAGAAAGACACCAACCATGCTGTGATAAAAGACCCTATACCAGTATATTTTAATATTTTGTGTATGAGGTCTATCTTATGCTACCAGATACCCTCTTCTTTTTCTAGGAGTCAAATTTCATTGATAAAAAAATTAGTGCTGAAAGTCAAAAGGTATTAGAAATATTACAATAAAAAATGACCAAGCAAACTCCTAACTTCAAAGAATTAATTTACATGCTTTTCAATGAGACCTGCCATTCTAATAGGAAATAATTCAGCAAACAGCCAAAACTCATGCATAGAAGTTTAACGTATATCCCTATCAGTCTTGTTTCTTTCTGAATTATGTGGCCAATCCAATCTAATCCAATGAGAATGCCTCTTTGCTGAGCACTATGTGTGAAGTTCTGGTCTGGACATTTTACAAATAATATTTCATCTTTACACCAATCCAATCAGGCAGTCCTTTGGTTATCATCATCTTACACAAGAAGAAATAGAGGCACAGGATGGTGAAATAACTTCCTGACATCATTCAAAACAGTAAATATGGATCCAGGTCTTGAACCCAGAGCCTAGGCCCTATACTATGGGGCATCAACTGTTTTTTATCTATTTTTTAATTTTATTTATCACAATAATGCAAACCACTATAGCATCATCTTGTAGATTTTCCTGTCTCTACACAACTAAATCCAAATGCGCATCTCACTGGACTGGTTACTGGTGAGTCCGTAGTGAACAGCAGATGCAGTTTACATGTCCCATGTGCTTACCTATCTATCATAGACATTCTCAAATAACATCATGAAAGAAAACTTCTCCCTCAAAAGATATTGTCAAGCCTCCAAAGAGATTAAACTCATTTAGTTAAAATACCAAAAACATTTTCAGACTAAAATGTATAAGTATTAAGGTTTATAAAAGTCAAAGTGTGATGGAGGCAGCAATTGTCCTGAAGGATGTTTGTAAGCAGCAATGTCATATGCTGTCAAGCATTTTATAGATAATATTGTTTAGGGAAGAAGACTATGAACAAACAGGACCACAGACAAATGAGAAAAAGATATCCTTTGTGGGACCTATCTAATCAAAATGCTCCTTGTTCTTCAATAATCATTTCAAATGTCAAATGCTCCATAAAGTCTTCTCTAATGAATCCGCAACCATGATTTCTAACTTTACAGAATATTTGACACTCTCATGTTCTAAACCATATGGAAATACATTAGAAAACTGTACAATGTGGTAAATAATGCAGTACTTTATTATATACCCTGCTTTCTTATCAACTGTATTGTTTTCTAATTATTTTGTGGATGAAAGTCTTAATTCTTCAGCTAGTTTATAAGTTATTAAAGCCAAGTAGCACGTCAGACCTGTTTATACTCTCTTCAGAGAATCCAGCATAGAGCCTCATTAACCAGGCCAAGAACAAGTCAGCCAGCAAACCAGGCTTAATGTTCCAGCAGTTAATGTTAAAATCCTGAGATCAAATATTTAATCATTCAACACTATTCAGCCTAGCAGGCACTATTCTAGGTGTGCTGCAAATATAATGGTGAACACAACAGTTCATTTCCTCAGGGAATTCATTAGTCCAGTGAAGATACATATTTGCAAACAGCTACTTAAAGGAGAATGCAATGGGTGCTACAGAGGAGGTATGACCAGAGTGTTATTGAGTCACCAGTTTCCCCTCCAATAGTCTAGAAGGCCTTCAGGGAGGGAAGAAATTTGTCTTGAGTCCAGGGGAAGAAGAAGGAGGAGAAGAAAGAGGGGTGAGTGTTGGGAGCATTATAGAAATGGAAATGCAGACTATAGAAGCAATATGTCAAGGAAATGGTGAGAGGTTCAATGTGGCCAAAGAGCATACACTGGGCCAAGCAGGGAGGCAGAGATGAGGCTGAAGGGCTAAGATGAAGGGGTTTTTAAAGCTACCCTAAAGAGTTTAAACTTTCAGCAATCTTGAAGAGGTATCTAAACAAAGAAGAGAATTGTGTGGTTTGAGAAATGTGAGAAGGCTAAAGTGAAAAGAGAAAGATCAGGGGATCCGTTTGGGGGTAGTGGTCAAAGGTTAGGTAAAGGTAAAAGGGTAGAAGAAGCATGAGAAATAGAAAAAAAATACGGTTGAGCTTAAATGACGATGCTACAGACGGGTTAATCACTTCTCAGATATGTAGTACGTACTTACTAGATATGGTAGTTTCTGTGTTAAATGCTGGAAACACATCTGTGATATGATAAAACAGTTAATTTTTGCCCTTGAGAAATTTAAATTCTAGTGAGGGAGGACTAGATAGTTAATAATTAACAAGTAAAGAAATAGACAAAATCATTCCATACTGTGGTAAGTTCTATGATAGAAAAAAAGGGTGTTATGGGATAAAGAGAATAGGAAGGAGGTAGGGGCGGTATGTTGGGTGGCCAGAGAAAGGGGCACTCTTTGAGACTGACAGAATGAGAAGGCACCACACGAGGGAAGCACCTTGCCAGGAAAGGAAGCCATGAGTCCCAAGTTGATGAAACTGGAAAAACCGTGGAATGTTTACAGAAGCCAAAGAACAAAAAAGGCAAGCGTGCTGCGAATCTGGAGAATGGGGGGAATAGAGATAGGTATGAGATGAGGTCAGGCAAGGAAGGTCTCATAGTCTACAGCAAGGAGTTTAGATTGATTCTCAGTGAAAATGCAATTCATTAATTATGACTAACTTTATTTCTGAATATAATAGATTTTTCTTTCTTCTAGACTGTGGACAAATCCTGTTTATTGTCATATTTCCAACATCTAGTATAACAAATGTTTGAAAATGTTGAGCTAACCTGCTAAACCACATGTGCTGCTGTCACCCCAATTACTGGTCATATCTGGCAAATTTTTGGCTTACAAAAGCAAAAATAAAAGGAGAAAAGACAAACTTGCCTGAGGTAACTCAGACCAATGTGAAAGGGAGAGAGAGAGAGAGCAGGAGGAGATAAAAGAGACACTGGTAGGCCTTTGTCCATTCATTTCACCCACATTCACTGCACCTAGAAGGAGCTGGATGGTTGGGCACCCAGGTTTGAGTAGTGGTGGTCTCTAAAGGGAAATTAACTGAGGGCCAGAAAGTCAAAAGAAAAAAACAAAGTACTTTGTAAATGGCAAAGTAACATGGTTTGAGAATTATGCATTTCAGAGAAAGGAAGGAAATGGTGAGGAGATTATTTTATAGTTGCCACAATGACCAGCAATTGTCCCATGTTGGCCCAAAAAAGTAGCTGAAAACTTTAAAAAAGTTGTTTTTGGGGTAGATGAAAGACAGAAGTAACCTGTAACTCACTGAGCACTCCAGCAAGGTGACTCCTCCTCATTTGGGAAAAATTTATACTTTCTAAGACACTATTTAGCATATTCTTAGAAAAGCCTTGCACAAAGTTGTCAAGTCTAGGAAAGGCTGCCCAAGACAATACATTAATTTTTTTTTTGAGACAGAATCTCACTCTGTCACCCAGGCTGCCTCAGCTCAATGCAACCTCTACCTCTTGGGTTCAAGCAATTCTCTTAACTGCCTCCCCGGTAGCTGAGACTACAGGTGTGTGCCATCATGTCCGACTAATTTTTCTATTTTTTGTAGAGACGGGGTTTCACCATGTTAGCCGGGCTGGTCTCAAACTCCTGGCCTTAAGTGATCCGTCTAACTTGGCCTCCCAAAGTGCTGGGATTATAGGAGTGAGCCACTGTTCATGGCCCCAAGGCAATACACTGGTTGGAAAAGATGATTTGATGTTTCACTGTCAGTGGACCAGAAATATTTACTAAAACAAGAACCTTTAAATCTGGGGAATTCAAGTTTTCAGGGCTCTCCTCAAATCACTACAAATATGTTTGCTCAATATTCATACATTTGGTATATTTGGGGGATGCTTACTATTTTGGATAAAGAAACAGTCTAGGCTGGGTGTGGCGGCTCACACCTGTAATCCTAACACTTTGGGAGGCCAAGGTGGGCAGATTACAAGGTCAGGAGATCGAGACCATCCTGGCTAACATGGTGAAACTCCGTATCTACTAAAAATACAAAAAATTACCCAGACGTGGTGGCACACACGTGTAGTCCCAACTACTCGGGAGGCTGAGGCAGGAGAATTGCTTGAACCCAGGAGGCGGAGGATGCAGTGAGCCAAGATCATGCCACTGCACTCCAGCCTGGGCAACAGAGCGAGACTGTCAACAATAACAAAAAAGAAACAGTCTAAGATAACCAAAGTTTAGAGTGTAAGAATGTATACAGTAAAAAAGATTTTGAAAAACTGGAACTTACAAATTTTAAAAAAGATGAGAATTTGAATTCTAACCACTTTTTAAATTCACAAATACTATAAAAGATTTCAAAATAAAATATTATGGTAGGGATTATAAACATCATATGGGAAAAGAAATAGCATTCAAGGGATAGTTTAGCATTCCATTGTTGTTCAAATGGTATTTGAATTCTATTCAAATATTGCAGTATTGATTCCATTTTGGGTTTCAGCAAAACCTCTTACCCGGAGCCCATGGAAGCGAGGATTACTGTAGAAGAGCTTCATCTGCTCAGATGGAAGTGGTCCTAGCACCTTCTGAATAGTAAAAAGTTGGTCAATTTCACTTTCTCCGGGAAATAAAGGCTGTCCATCGCTAAGCTCCCCAAGAATACAGCCCACCGACCACATGTCTACGGACTTTCCATAGGGAGCGCTGAAAAATAACGGAAGAGATTATTTTGGCAACTGAAAAAATACAGTGTTTTGATAATTTCCAAATTATTGTGAACAAATTTATAATTTGCAGCAAACTTGTATATTTATGCAATTAAAATCTTCCATGTGAAAAAAGGTAAGGCTGAAAAGTAAATCATAAGAACACAGGTGAATAAACCTATGCTAATAAAGCCATCAATTTAATAACAATTTAGTATACACTAATTTGAAAAGTATTCACATAAATATATGTAAATATATATATATATATATCTTAAACCTGAATGGCTTAATAAACCCTAATACAGTATACATGTCTGGCAAGTAATACCTCACTAGGGGAATGAAATGCTTCCAAAGAATTGTATTTTCTAAGACAAATAATTATCCTTCAGCTCTCTAAATGTCAAAAAGATACATCTTATCCATTTTATGAGTTTAGTCTATTAAAATTTACTATGGACTGACTTATGTGTTTTCTTAACAACGAATATTATTTAACCTTCCATTACTCAGCATCACAGTTTCTGATAGCTAAGATTGTGCTAAGGTCTACCATATTTTTTATTTGAACATAATATGTGTAGCCTATGTATATAGAGCTTTATGGTAGCTATTTCCCTCAAAACATTTTCCAGTTTACTTAGGAGTTTATAGCTTTCTTCTAGGGTATGAGTTTACCAGAGGGCTTTAGGAGTGTTGCTATTATTGATAAATGGAGGTTGTATATGAAAATTTAGGTACCCTCAAAACAGTTTTATATCTATTTCCCAGTACCTACAGTGTTAAAATTATTTATAGCAAATTAAGAAACCACACACACACACACACACACACACACACACACACACACAAAGTGCGCATGTTCACACACGTTTCAAACATAAATAATCCAAGCTTTAAGAAGGGAAAGCCAAAAGAAAATATCTGAAAAAGAATATAGAATGAAATTCTGGAATGCCAAAATGATATAGTAGTGAAACAAAACTTATAAATCAAAGGACTGTTAACATTATACAGAACAGATTTCTAGGATAACAAATCATTGCAATGGTAAGTCAATATTTCATTTATTCATTTCCTTCCCATATCAACCTAAGAACCACACAAAGAAACTTCACTTAGATCTTTTTGGTAAGTTTGTTAGGCAGGGAAAGATACTGATCTTTCTTTCCTATCTGTATGAGAGAGAGAAAATTTGTTCCATAGTGCTAGATGGAGAAACTTATGGAAATTTTCCATATACCCACTACAAGCTATTTTTCTTCTGTCATCTGATTTGAATAATTTATGCAGCTGGAATGATTCTGAATGTCAAGGACAAAGCCTTGAGAATGTATAAAATTTAAATTCTTAATGTATAACCAAATATCTGATTTCAAAGGGATTTTTACTAATACAGTCTTCAACTAGTACTTGATAATCAATTAGCAATGCTCATTTTAGCACTAATTTAGTTACATTATCCCCATACTTTCAGCAGCTACCACACATCTCTAAACATAACTCTAGTTTTTCTATAAGTATTATTAGGCAGCAAATACTCTCTGAAGATTCACAATAAGGCTGTCCTCAAGATAAACTTCTTGAAGCCATGTTACAGACACCACCATATTACAACAAGCCCTTCTACTACATTTGAGTCCTCAGATGGGGTTCTAAGAATGATCTACTTCATACTCAGTTCTCTATTGGTAAAGTGTCCAGTAAATTCAAATTTCCCAAAAGAAAATGCACTATGCATCCCAATGAGTCCAAAAGGTACACAGGAAAAATATAGACAAACACAAAGAAAGTCAATCCTAATTCTAAGATTAAAAATTAGCATAAAAATTCTAAACTCTGCCCACACAATGGAAGAGATAATAAAGTGACTAAGCATCATTTGTTTCTCAGGATAAAGCAAGCTTTTGATTAAAAAAAATAGTAAAGCTTTCAAAAAGTAATATCAATGATTCTTACAGGCTTTAGGTCAGCAATGAATCAAGAATTACTACTAGATGGTTGGAAGATAGTGGAAAATAAGTAGTTAATATCGAAATAAACCCTCAGTGAGTAACTTAAACATGCAGTCATCATGCTCTTCAGAAAAAAATCCAGAAACTTATATTACTATTACATAAAAAACATTTTTAAAAATTAAATTCCTCATGTCTCCCAGATACACGTATGGAACGCTAAAGAAATGAAACCTACAATTTGTTCACTTGTCATCATTATCACTATATCTAATTTTATTTGTGGAGTATAGCTTCTTTCTCTGTTCTTGGGTGGTCCCAAAGAAGGAAATACAATCTAGGAAAAATAATCCTACAACTAGGGTAGGTAGAGAATTATTAATGAGAACTACAGGCTCCTTCTTAGGCTTTAAAGTTAAATGTACTAAAAAGAAAAGAACCTGACCAGAAGACCTTTTTCTGGTGCTAATAGATGAATGAAACAGCATTGAAAGTTAAAGGGTGGGCACAAAGGAAATGAATGTAGAGATGTTACTGATAAAATCGTCAATACAGCACTATTTTGAATAGCCATTTATCATCAAATAGGATTTACACTGTTCAGAACAAAAATGGCAATTGGTTTGTTTTGGTTTTTTTTGTTTTTTGTTTTTTTTGTGATGGAGTCTCGCTCTGATGCCCAGGTTGGAGTGCAGTGGTGTGATATCAGCTCACTGCAACCTCTGCCTCTGGGATTCAAGTGATTCTCCTGCCTTAGCCTCTCAAGTAGATGGGACTACAAGTAGGCATCACTATGCCTGTCTAATTTTTATATTTTTTGTAGAGACAGGGTTTCACCATGTTGCCCGGGCTGCTCTTGAACTCCTGAGCTCAAGGGATCCACTAGCTTTGGCCTCCCAAAGTGCTGGGATTACAGGCATGAGCCACTGTACCCAGTCTGGTTAAATATTTACTCCATGTGCCTGACAAAATGGCTGGATGTAAGAGATACTTGATAAGTATTTGATGAATGAATAAATTAACAAATAGGTAAGACAGAATGTCAAACTGTGTGGATATTCACATTTTTCATGTGGAAGTTTATTAGCAAAGATGGTTACAATAATTTTTTCCATTTCCATACATATGCCATTTTGTAATATGCTCTGCCATTTGTCCCATCAAGAGGTGGAGTTGATTTCTCCATACCATCAATCAGGGGTTGGTCATGCAACATGCTTTGGTCAACGAGGCAAAAGCCATACAAAAAAAGGCCTGAAAGCTACTGTTGCTTTGGGGCTCACCCTTTTATAGCACAGAATTCTCTAACTATCACACTTAGAAACTTGGACTAGCCTACTGGAGGATAAGTCTCCAGGGATCAGAGATGTTCTGACCCATCTGAGACCCCTAAACTAACCAGCTCCCAGATGACCTGCCAGCTGACTATACCTCCATGAGTGACTCCAGGGGAGACCAGCAGAAGAACCACCAAGCTGAACTCAAACTGCTGATGCCCCCACACCCAGAATTGTAAGCAAACAAAATAGTGCTTATTTCATACCATTAAGTTTTAGGTAGTTTGTTATACTTCAATATGTAACTGACACATTTAATTAACTGAGGTTTATTTTCCATAGATGATCTCAAAGCCAACGACAATAGGATCAGCAGATGTGGAGATGTCATTCTATTTTGGGACTGTAACTCACCCAAGTAAGAGTTCTGGGGATCGATACCATCTGGTCGCAACGTACTCTGTGTAATTAGCATTATTGCCTTCTGACAGATTACGAGCAAAACCTGAAAGATAGAGAAGTCCAAAGCTGTAACTTCGAAAAATAAATAATAATTCATGTTGGTAAAATATTTCAGTGCTAGTAATACTTTAAACAACATCAAAAGAATGTGATGACTGTTCTTGCATGGGCTATTTATTAATAATATCCTTATCTTAAAAAGTTAGTAGAGTGTTCCTATGTCAATTGAAAGACATACAATGTATTCGCTTCAAATCTAGTCTCTTCACTATGCTAAAGAAATCCATGTTTTCAAAGTCACTCCATGCATTTATAATTATTCAGAGTGTACTTTTAAATCAGCTCTCTCAATAAATCCAAACCTTAGGAAAAAAATGAAATGAAGTCCCCACAAAAGCTAGAAATCAAAGTCAAACTAGCATATTGTAGATGGTCATTAATTTTGCTATGTGGCACTTACACAGTATTTGCATATGTATTGTTGCTGAGCAGTTCTGGCCCTAACATAAACAGTAATGGAAACAAAGCAGGCCAAAATTAGTATAATTTCCTAATGACTGAGCATATTAGGGATATCTTAGTTACCAATTACAGACTCTATCACAACTTTTACCCCCACCCTTTCAAAAGGTTTTAGGGCCACTGCATAGCCACAAAATAAGGCAGGAGGATAAGTTAATCATCCATCTAACTCACCAAACACAACATAGGTTCACTGTGAACAGTTACAGCAAATCAGAACATTAAAATTAAGAGTAAAAATTAAGGTGTACATCAGTTTTGAGACATGGAAAATAGCGTTTCTTAAAATGAAACAGCAATAAATAACAACAATCACAGCACAAGACAAAACCTCCAACTTCGGATAATCAGTGTTTCTTCATAAGACATGCTTTGAATAAATATTTGTATTTTTGAATGGGGTTCTTCAAGTCAGACCAAAAGCTGCATGCTCTGGGAGGGGAAACAATTAGGAAGTCCTTGCTAGGGATACACGGGACACAGAATGTCACATGTGGTGCTGCCAGAAGGAACTTCCTGACCATTCACAACAGCCTTTTCTCTGAGAAATAATGCCAGACCAGGAGTACTCTTTTCCTACTATTAACCATTCTATAGGCATTATTTTATATTTATATCTTGCTTTATATTTTCAGTAACTTAAGTCTCCGTTTTGGGTGGTAATCACAATTACAGACAGGAAATCAGAAACAGATGCTATTCCTGAAAATCATAATGCTAAGAAAATGCTAAAAATGCTACAATCAAAATCTTTTAGATCTAGTATTCAATATTTCCTTTATCCTAAGCACATTCTTTAAAAATTTAGGATATAGCAAGACTCTTTTACATACTAGTCCTTATCATAAAGTATGGAGAAAATTAGCTCCCATAAAACATTTTTTCTCAGGCAAACAGATTGATAATATTCAAAACCTTTGAAAATATTAAGTGACAAGAGCTACACATTGCTTCCAATTGCTACAATGGACAAAGTGCATAGGTGATGAATGTGTAATTATGAAATATTTGACATTTAAATATTAAATATGAAAAAAGACATTTAAAAAATCAAGTGTTTATTTTTCAGAATACAGGTTAGACAAAACTATAATTTTAAAAAGTGACCCATGAGCTAAACAACCTAACATACAATCTAAAATTTTTTTCTTAATTATTTTAATTTAAATGTTTAACTGAGATTAATACAGAGTTATCTACATGGGAGACATAGACAATTTTCTACTAGGAGAGAGTACAACTAAAAAAATTTCCCTATACATTCAATCAAGAGCTGGAATATTATACATTACTAATCCCATTCACTGAACATTTAGAGGGAACAAATGAAAATGCTCTAAAAATGTCTTTTGACTTTATAGATATATAACTATTGCATATACAAAAGACTTATGTGTATTTATAGAGGAATACTTTTGGTGTTTATGATTAAACCTGGAACAACTATCAACATTAAAAAAATTTTGTGAAGTTATCAGGCATTAGGCTTATATGTGTATTTGCTTTGAACTAATTCTTATTAAACAAAAACCATATGACAAATTTTTTAAAATAGTAGACAATACTCTGAAAAGAAAGAGCAGTACTCCTCTAGCAATCAAGTTTTCAACATATGACTCAACAGAATGTTCCTCTACCAATTTAAGTCAAAACATATTAATTACTTTTAATATTCCTTTAAAAACTACCTATGTGTTACAATAAATTAATTCTGTTAAGTACCAGGACTTAATTTCTTTTTAACTTACCAAAGTCGCACAGTTTTAGGACATCATTGTGGCTGATTAAGAGATTTTCTGGTTTTATATCTGGAGTGTCAAGATTAAAAAAGGAAAATTAGTAAAAATGTTATATGTTCTCCTGATTGACACTGTTAGATCACTGCAACAGCATCTAATTAGAAATATCTAGAGTAATTTGAATAGAAAACTGTGGCAGCAAAAAGAAAAGTAACACATTTTATGCTGGTACATAAAAGTTTCAATGAATTTCTTTTTCAGAAACATGCAGGCCACAATTTCAAAAATAATTTTTTCCTTTTTAACTATTAAAAGGATTAACTGGATCTCTGAAAGAATTTTAAGAATAATTAAATCTAGGCCAATACATTTAAAAAAACTATTACTTCATAAAATACTAATAATACCAATTTTTGGAGATAGAAAATATTTACACTCACAAGTACTTTAAAATGAGAATAAATAGCTAGCATTATATTTACTGGAGAAAAAATACAAGATATGCTTTCTGTTACATTCTTCTACATAATTTCTATATTTACATCTCTTTAGCTTTTCCACATGGTTCACAATTATCAATGTCTAATGCTGAAGCCACACTGGATGAGTCAAATTAAGATTTCTAATTTTTTCCATGTTTTGAAGATATGGTGGGAGTTAAGTAGAAATTCACAGAAAATACAGCTGAATTCTCTCCTTGGGAGGCATCTCACAATTGTATTTTTAGAGTAGAATACCCATCATTTATATCATATGGTAGAAGTGCAAATGGAGAAAGGGCAGAGGTAGTAAAATCTGTAGATTTCAAATCATGGTTTCTACCATTAATTCGCAACCACTGATTCACTATGCACGTAACCAAATCACAGCATCATGACGGAAATGCACCTAATTCGGATCCTCATTAATATCCTCAAACTACATTATAGACTGTTACTAGAATCATTACCCTAGACACTAGATGTCCAGTTGATGTGGAGATCTACCCATGCTACCAACAACCTTGATAAAGTAACTGCTATGAGAATCAAATACAAGAGAAGTATAAACTGTTTCTAGGAATAACAGATGTTAGCATTCTTCCTATGACCTTTAAATTATTCTAACAAGTGAGACTATTTTTAAAGTGATATCCTTGTGCGTTTATGTATAGGTAAATTAAAATATAGCATTCTTTTATCTGCTAATTCAAAGACAAAAAGTAGATACTGCAATATTTTTTGATAAATATTTAGGGTCACTGTTGTATCAGTTTGTGTCCCACTACTGTAAAACTCTGCAATGCAAGAGAGATTATCAGGAGAAGATATAGGTACAGAGTCAAAGATGATGCTGAGCAAGTAATTTCCCTTTCATTGCTATAAACCACCCACTTCATGGCAGTAAAGGACAAAACAGTTTATGGGAGTATAATTATGACCTTTTTGCAGGGTGATCATGCCTGCAAATGCAGACAATGGGCACTTTTCACTAACATGTAGGGAAAATTAGGAGGTGAAGGTACACACTGGAGATTGCTGGTGTAAGAAGGAATGAGACATGAATGCCAATAGGAGCCAGTGAACTTAGGGACCACCTATATGAAGCCTGATTTGGAGTTGTTTCACATTACCTGGTCTATGTGCAGGATCAAGACTATAGAGATCAACATTTTGCTCTTCTCCTATACCCAAGTAAGTTTCAAAGTTCACACTTGTTGAGTTCTCTTATATCACTAGGCATTTCTACAGTTGGGAGTGGATCTATAATGCAACTGTAAAGATCTCACCACAATATCCAAATAAATTTGTAATCCATTCTTTTGGTGACAGAAAAGGAGATTCAGAGAGCAAATGACTTCTCATATCTTGTACTTCCAAAATATACTTAATTTAAATGGCAATGTCAATGCTTATGAAAATATTCTTTAAGATAGTAACGTCTGAAATACTCTTAACTTTATTTGATGTTTTAATATTTTCCATTTAAAAAAATCTCATACTCACCTCTATGGACAATATCATTCTTATGACACCAGTGAATAGCCTTGATTAGCTGATAGATGTAGCTTTTCACTTTCTCAGGTGGAACTCCATTGGGCATTTCTTCCAGCAATTCGAGCATATTCTAAAAATTAAACAGAGTCATTAATTTCCCAAATTGGGTAGGCCCATAAATTATGTATTAACAATTTTATAATGCACCTAGAATAATTCATCCAATACAGAGCATGTATTTTTTTTTATTGTTTTGCTTTCTATATACAACTTTTTCATGCTGAATCAGGATTAAAATTGGGTATTTCTTTTATGAGAAATTCCATTTCTACTATTCCCTAATGCTACCCCAAATAATAACCCTGTATACTTTCCACTCTCCTTTAAGGTTTTCAGGCATTATTTTAGAATAATTTGAAGAGAAAAGCAATACAACGTAGAAATATGACACTGTAATGTATAAAGTGGGGAAAGAATCATTTTAACACAGTGTGCTACATCTCTGCAATAGAACCTTGTGATAAAAATCTGGCTTTGAAAATACTTCTGGAAGATCTGGGTAATACTCATAAAAGAAAAAAAATGTCTAAAATTAAAAATGATCAATACATTTAGTACAAAAATTCAAACAGGCCACCAGAAAATACTGTTGAAATAAAAAGTCACAGGCCCCATACAATTCAATACTCAAAACCTTAATTTGGAGTCAGAGACCATTATAAAAAAAATTCATGCACAATTTTTTATTATGTGGAAACTCCACTTAGCCAGTCTCTATTGAATTTCCAGATTAACAAAACATTCTCCTTTCCCACTGTAAAGTACAAGGCCCATGGCACAAACATAGCTTATTTTATGTAGGCAACCATCCAGGACAGCAGTTCTCAAAGTGTGACCTGTGGATCTGTGGGATCTAAGACCTTGCAAAGGGCCCATGAAGTCAAAGCTATATTCATAAGGTAGACTATGACATTGGCCTTTTTCACTGCGTTGGCATTTACACTGATGGTACAAAGCAACAATAGGTAAACTGCTGGCACCTCAACATGAATCAAGGCATTGGATTCTTTAATCCAATTAAACCTTGCCTCTAAAAAAGAAAACAGAAGTTTTAGTTCTAAGGACATCCTTGATGAAGCAGTACAAAATATTACTTTGACTAAGTTTCAATTGTTGAGTACATGTCTTTTTTGGAAATCTGCATAAAATGGCAGACTGCACATAAAGCCCTCCTGGTGCACATGCGCCATCTGTACAATGGCTGCCCTGAGGAAAAGCACTTGAAAGACTGAGATGCAAGCTGAACGAGCTGCTTTACGTGGAATGCCATTTTTTACTTTAAAGAATAACTGACATACAAACTTATCTATGTTAACAGGCAATACATTTATTGTTATTTTTAAATGAACTAATATTTTTATATTGCTCAGTCATGACTAATATGAGAAACACTAATAGATAAAATACACATAAATAAAAAGCTCTTAGGGTTCCCAATAATTTTCGGAGTGTGAAGGGGCCGTAAGATCAAAAAGTTCGAAATTCATTGCACTAATTTGGCCTCACGATTTTGTTCCCACCATTCAAGTTGTATACCTATAAAGACTCAGTTGTATTTACTCTCATGCCTATTAATAGATAGGCATGAGAGATGCACTTATTATTTTAATATAATTAAATACCACATAAACCAATGAAATAATGTTTTTGTTTAAAAAAGAGTTGCTGTTGATAAGAAAACAAAGTTGAATACTTTACAGAGGCTTAATAAAGGAGAAGCCACTAAACTTGTTGCCATCTAATCAAATATGAGACAACTACAAAACACTGGCAAGGGATGGGTGCTGGTGGGAACAAGCATGTCCACTGAAGGATTCTGCATGGAGATTGCTTTGCAGATGTTTTTGAGCATTTGCTTTACGTTAAAGATGCATTACAGGTATGATGTATGTAAAAAAGACCCATCAGAATTTCAGAAGAGCAATATGCAAAAGCCCTTGACCCCGCCTTTATAGTGTGGTAAATGAATACATACAGTATTTATATTACCAATTAAACATTTTAAGTATGTATGCATCGTTTTTTGATTCTCCATTTGAATCCCTTTTTCAATTAACAAATTTGTAGGCAGTCCCAAATGCATAGGTGGAATAGGAAGGCTTTGTAATATAGAAAACAAATTGTATCTCTTGTTTCCTATTCCATTCTAAATTCCTAAGTGGCAGAGATATTGTCCTCCAGCATCCAGTCTTCCCTTACTCCGCAGGAACATAATTTTCAAGTGGAGGCCTAGCTGCCCAGAACAAAGAGTACATTTCCCTTCTGCCTTGCAGCTAATGTAGTCACGAAACTATGTCCTGGCCAAGGGGATGTGACAGCTGGAACTCTATCCTGACCTTTAGGACAAGGGTCACACCTCAGCGTGGTGGAGCAGAGCTGCCACACACTAGTCCTGTACTGCCCTACCTTTGTATTTATACGTGAGGGTAGTATACACAGAGACCCAGGATTATAGAGGTTTAAGCCTCTGTAATCCTGGGTCTCTGTTACCAGCCCCTTACCCCTTAGAGCACTTTCCCCTTGCTCTCCTGAGACTTACTGTTAATTATAAGGCACTGACACTAATGTGGCAAGTATGACAGACATGTTCTACCTAAGAACCACAGGGTCGGAGGACGAATCTTAGGCCTGACTGTCAGACAGACAGACAGTTCTAGTAGCAGCTCAGCCATTTACCAGCAGGGAGATTGCAGACACACGAAATTGCCTCTCCCAGTGAGGAAACAGGCACACAGAGGTGACTTCTCCATTTGTTATACTAAATTATTATTAATGAACAATCACCATGAGAATAGAAATAAAAAAAGATAAACTAAAATAGATGTCAAAATTTTCTTACTTGGTAGTGTAAACTGCAAACTGCATGATTATTTGTGATAATGAAAAAACAAAGAGCAGCCAGGCATGGTGGTGCGCGCACCTGTAGTCCTAGCAACTCAGGAGGCTGAGGTGGGAGATTTGCTTGAGCCCAGGAGTTTGAGGCTGCAGTGTGCTATAATCACACCTGCAAACAGTCACTACACTCCAGCGTAGGCAACATAGTGAGGCCCCATCTCTAAAAACAATTTTTTAAAATAAAGGACATCTGATTTCCCCTGGAATTCTAATATAGCAATTCTTTTTTTTAATAGAACTTTCTTTTAAAAACCAACTTTTAGTTTTATTTTGGTATGGAAGCTACCTTAGAGGAATGTATAAATTGACACACAAAAAGAAACTTAGATTCTGGAAAAGGAACATATAGCAGTGGTTTAAGGCTACAAAGAACCTTCTAGCAACTTCCCAGTTTTTCTAGTAATGAAATTATTACATGTATTTTTTTTTTTTTATTTCAAAAAATAACTTGTAAAGGCTGAATGCATTCAAAGCCACATTACTAGTCAGTTACCTTGGCAATACTGCTTTCCATTTGGTTATGACAATGTCAATGCTGTCATTTATGGTATAGCAAGCACCTGGGTATAGACCTGCAGCAAACATAAACCTCTCCAGCTTCAACTTCTTTGGACAATAGCATAGGAATTGGTAGGAGCCACCTGTTTACTCACCAAGGAAACCTGCTAAAAGGTTTGCCTGGCTCTAGTTTCTTCTACGATTATTAAAGTGTTTATCTGTTTAAATTCTTGACCATAATAACTGCTGTAGGTCAGCTGCTCCCCAAGAAA